CGCGATTCCCTATCCAACTTACTGACCCGAGTCCATTTGGCGTCTTTTGCTGTAAGTGTTATTGGCCTTCCTTGAGAGTCCTTTAACCACGGATTACAAAATAGTGGTTGTCTAAGCACTCATCCTTCGTCCTCGGTTTTTCTACTCTCGTCGGGAAGACCTCCGCCCATATTTTGAACAATTGAGCCCAGTATGTACCCCTAGTTGCTCCTTAGTCTACTACTTTATCCCCAATTTTATCCTTCTTAGTCCAACCCTTGCAAAATAACCAGAATGTACCCTTCATATTGGATGGTGTTTTATATCTTGCCCCTGACGTATGTGATCGAGTACCAATGGGACCCATCGAAGGTGAGGCTGTGTTAACAACTTTATGATCCACTTAGTTTGAAGTGCCCTTATTTGCTGCCCTGGATCCAAGACTTGGATAACTTGGTTCCATGATACCTTTGATATAAAGTTGGATCTCGAAGGGTTTGTTGTCCATAGATATGTTGCCGCCACCTTCCTCAGCTTTTGTAGTGTATTAGCTGGTGGTGACCATATCGTTCCCACGTACCATAGCATAGAGAAGATGGAAGCATTTATGACCAGCGCCCTCCCGAACATTGAGGTATGTATTTCTAACCACGTCGCCAACTTTAATAACATTTTTGTCATGTGTTCTGGCGCCATAGAATGATGGGGACCCTCACCCGACATTCTGATACCCAAATATCTCATTGTCTGATCCCGTGGTAACCACGTCATCCCTTCATAATTTGTGGCTGATACTGTGGCTGTTGGTCATCATGTGATAGCCACCACCCCAGCGTCTTCTACCAGTTAATTCTCATTTTCGATGCTAGCTGAAATGCCGCCATTGCTCTCGTAAGGGTTTGGAAAGAAGAATCTGTCGCTCTGATTAGTACTGTTAGATCATCCGCAAATAATATCGTTGTCTGTAAATTTGTGACTCGTCCCTGGTGATCTGGCTCAGCAATCAGACGGTCTATCGAAGGGTCTTTCCTGAGGAATGAGGCAATAGCTTCCATTATAAACAAGAAAATAGGAGTCGCTAAAGGGTCCCCTTGCCTTACTCACCGTGTCATTTTATACCGATGTGACAGGTGGCCATTAACCTGTACCTGCCCATGCGCATCATTATAAAGTACATGTATCCATTTACGAAAGTTAGGACCCACTCCCATCGTCTCCATACATTGCTGTAGAAAATTCCAGTTGACTTGATCATATGCTTTTTCGAAGTCGAAAAAGAGAATCGTTGCGTTTATCCTCCTATTAGTAATGTACCTTACTGATTCTGATCAAACATGACATTATCCAATATAAATCTTTGCGGTATAAATCCCGTTTGATCCAGATGAAAACAACTTTTTGTGACCTTCCTCAGGCGGTTAGCTAGTGCTTTAGCCACAATCTTGTGAGTAAGAGTCAACAATGTAATTGGTCTGTAATTTTTGATATCCCTCGGGTCTCCTTTCTTATACTGCAAAGTTACTATGCCTGTYGCCGACTCTAACCCCAAACCTTCTTTCTGCCAGGCTTGATTGAGAAAGGATACGTACTCTCCTCCCAGGATAGGCCAATACTCCATCCAAAATTCTTTGGTTAATCCGTCCCTACTTGGCGTCTTGTTAGGAGGCATAGACTGTAGTGCTTCCCTCAATTCATCCAGAGATAGAGGGGCATCTAATTTTTCTGCATGGTCCCTTTTCACCATACATTCTAGCTATGAAAGAAGCTTATTTCTGACCTCCTTTAGCTGATGAGGAGTATTGTCACTTTCCCTAGAAGTGTATGAAGTACTATAAAAGTCATAGGCCACTGATAACATCCCTTCCGGATCCGAGACCATTCCTTGCGGACCTTCCAACTGTTCTATTAGCTTGTTTCTTCCTTTTGCTTTAATTTTTTGGAAGAAATGTTGTCATTCTTTCCCCTTCCTCCCATTCTTTCACTCTCGCACTCATTTGCAAACCTCTAGCCTTCCATCTCTCCCAATCTCCCAATTCGTTTCTTGTTGCTTCTATTATTTTCTCATACATCTCCTAATGCGGGTTATTAATTAGATTCCTTTCTGCTATACGCAATGCCCTTTGTAGTTCCAATTCCCTTGTCGCCCGCCTTGCTGCCAGCTGTCTGGCTATCGCTGCCGTCGTTGTTGACAAGGCTTTAAGGTCCGCAAATGATTGTGTGACCGGATTGTGTGTTAGGCACACATACAGAACAACTTCCCTCAATTCCTTGGTTCTTAATAACGAGTTATTAATCTTATAGAAACTCCTACCTCTGTGAACATGTTTGTCCATAATAAAGTTAAGAAGTATGGGTTTATGATCTAGACATGTACAGTATCGTAGGTCCCCTACTCCCACAGAGTGTACTGTTCCCACAGTGTCTTGTGATATAAGGAAGTAGTCAATCCTTGATGCTGAAATATGTTGGCTACGATTCTTTTTATAATATGTGAACTGTTTTCCTTCAGGCTGTTGAAGTCTAAATGGATCCACCAGATCCCTAGCCGCCATAAGATTATGAACAGGAAGGGCTTCGTCCCACATCACTCCTTCCCCTAACCCTGACCTTCCACCTAGTAATTGGTCCCTACTAGGATCCAAAGTTGTGTTCCAATCCCCAGCCAATATAAGATGTCTTGATGGGTCTACGAGGTTTTGAAGCGAATCTATCATTTTCGACCGCTAATGCCCTCCATTAGGACAATAGACTGTAATGAGCGTAAACTGCTCATCCTGATAGATAAAGTTGAGCTTTATCCACCTACCCTCATTCTCATCTAGTATGACATCCTGAACTATCATTCTATCTGCTGCCCCTTAGAACCAGCAAACTGCCCGTCCACATTTCAAGTAGGGGAACGAGTCTGGGTCAAGTCCGCAGAACTGGGACAGGAGCACGGGATATCCCGTAAGCTCATGCCACAGTGCTTTGGACCATGGGAGGTTTTAGATGTCGTTGGAGATGAACTGGATGGTCCTTCTTATGTTATTCGCATCCCTGGTCACCTACGCACATATCCGGTATTTCACACCTCTAAGCTTGCACCGTTCGGAGAAACTGATCAGTTTCCCTCTCGTCGCTCTATGCTGCCCCCAACCATGGATGGAGAGGTCAACGTCGATGACATCGTTGATCACAAGGAGATGCCAGTTCCAAGACCGATAGGCAGAGGACGTCCTCCAAAACTGAAGCTACAGAGTTCGTTTCGGACATCACACTGATCCAAAGGAGGACCGATGGTTTACCAGGGAGGAAGTGATGCAGACCGCTCCTCAGGTTGTGACCCAATATGAAAAGTCTCTGCAGAAGGGAAAGCGCCAGATTATCGAAGATTGAACGTCTCAGAGGACTAGCGAAGTATGGAGGAGGGAATGCGAGGCATAGGCCTCGATAAGCCCTACTGGGCCCATATTTGCAACAGGTCGGCCGTCCTAATGGAAGGCAGGCCCGACAGACGACAAAACGCCTACTTTGGACTACTTCGCAACTGGGGAAAATTCAGGCAGTTGCGCAGCGCCAGTTGGTTGAAGACGCCCAGGCCCTGGCCTCCTTTTTCGAATGTATCTAAGTCAGGCCCTGGGCGACATACGCAGCACAGACCCAACGCAGACAGCGGGCAGTTGGGCACGGGTAACTGTCGGTGGCCCTGGGCCTGATTCGTTTGGCGTGAGGCTCAGCCTCCCTGGGCCTACCGGAAGCTTCTGGGCAGGGGCCCAGCGCAGCCAGGCTGCACGCAAGCAGGCTGGCCACTTCCATTTAGGAAAGGGCCAGCCCACGCATTGGACATTCGGGGACTGGCTGCTTTGTGCGCAAGCGCTGCTGCGCTATCGCCTGCCAGGCTCACCCGCTCACGGGCGAGCTGGAAGGAGCAGGCAGTCAGAGCTGAGCTGCGCTGCTGTATGCTGGATGGGGCGCATGGTGGTCCTTGGGTGCAAGTGGCAGCTGTGAGTTGGGGAACGAGGTTCTGAGTGATATAAGAGACATACCTGATGCTTGACGCGTGCGGCATTGGCCGAGGTCTGCTCGTACTTGGGGAGCTGTTGACGTCATCAGCAGCATTGTAGTCTAGGCTAGATAGGATCTGCCATTTGTAGTCTGGGCGCCGAGCGCCAGATAGGATATCAACATTGGTTCTTCGTTGATGATGATGAGACTATTCCAGCATTGTCAATTATGAGCTTTTGGTGTGCTCTTATTTGATGAAACTCGTGATGCAATTCTGCTTTTGGTTCGAGGTCACGACTATCTGGTCTCGTGTGTGTGATGCCGTTTGATTGCTTAAGTTCGCTATTGCTCATCTTCCTTGCATGCGACTCGGTTATTTTCTTTTCTATCTTCAGTTCCGTGAGGAATTCTGATGTGACCCTCAGCCAAAAGTTGTTTGTATTGCAATTCTACACAACATAGTTTTTCTCAGATTTGTTTGGATTTGTTTGGATTTGTTTGGATTTGTTTGGAATTGTTTGGAATCTTGTATTTTTTATATTTTTTTATTTTATGCGCTGGGGCTGCCCGGGCCCATGCCCGGGGGTCATGCCTGGCCTGGCTGGCCAGTCACCCGGTGACGTCAGGACCCGGGCGCCCGGGATATCTCCCTAGATTGTTGCTCGATTTTCTGTTTATTTTTTAAGCAACTGGCCTGGCTCAGTTGGCACACCCATGAGCTGTTGTAATTTGGACCTGAGTTCGACTTCCGCTGGAATCACATGAGTGAAAATAACTCTTAAATTTACCTGGGGCCGGTCAGTTTGAAGATCATATCTCAAGGCTGTCGCCCTTACAAAATAAACGGGAGAATGTGTTGCTCAACTACATGTCGTGGAGATTTTGAGTTCATGCCCTGAAGGCTGCTCAACAGGTTGCTACACTTTCTTGATATACTTTCTGTGGGAGGATTGCTGCTAAAATCAACCCTTTGAAGCTGCACATTTTTACACCTTGAAATTCCGTTTGTTGTGTGTGGAATCTGTGGATGGCAGGGTCTTGTCTTATCCACATGTGCTGTGTCATACTTCAAGGCTTTTCTCTTCTTCAACTGTGCACTTGATGCAGCATCGAAGATACATGACCTCATGTTAAGCTCTGTCTTTGGATCTCCTCTCCGGTTTTTCCACGTCAATCCAATTGGCCGAATCCTCAATAGATTTTCTGCTGATCAGGTGAGGAGAGAAGGGAAGAGAAAAAGAAGAGATGGACTTCCCGATCTATGTTTATCGACCTTGCAATTGGGCCATCCCTTTCTTTTCTTCTTCTTTTTTTTGGTTTTTCCTTCAACGACATGGAATGGGTAATCCGCTAATTACTAACTCACGGTTTGTCGGAAGCTCGCCTTCTGCAGCTGGGTCCCCCACTGGAGGGGTGACTGCTTGCAATGGGGCCATGCCTATCCTCTATGGAGTCTTTGAAAATTTTTGATGGGGCCATGCCTATCCTCTATGGAGTCTTTGAAAAAATTTTGATAGATGCCTTGGAGGACAGAAGCTCCGGTTGTATTCTTGTAGAGCGTTACGAGGAGGGTTTGGCAGCTGTGGCAGTGGAAGAGAGGGTTTGTCATCCTCCTCGATCACACGTGTTGTAGTCTTGTAGAGCATTACGAGGAGGGTTTGGCAGCTGTGGCAGTGGAAGAGAGGGTTTGTCATCCTCCTCGATCACACGTGGAGTGGTAGCAACATGGGTTGCCGAGTGTTATCTCCCACTACTCTTGGAGTGCTAACAACATGGATTGCAATAGCTCTTGCAGTGAGAGCGACATGGATTGCAATCACTCTTGGAGTGCTAGCAACACGGATTGCTGAGTGTACTACAATAGTTCCAGTGTGGGTCATGTTGTGTGCAATACAAAAATCAAAGGCAAAGCGGTTTCAATTTTGGATCTACTCATCGGGGTGGAAAAGGGGGGGTTGTGGTGACAATTTACAACACACACAGGCACACTGCTAGGATTGCAGTTTTGGTGCAAGTAAAGTCGACCACTTTTCTCTCTCAGGGGTTCGCTAACTCTGGGTGACGTGGTGAGTCCTTATCCATCAGTCAAATGCATCCTGGGCAGACAGTCGGGGTGCAACCTCCTCAGGAATTGGTGAAAGGCTGCCCTAACAGTCTGGCGCAGTCATGCTTTCTTTTTGTGGGGTTGTCAACCATGACAACACACACACAAACACGTCGGGGGAGATGGATGGATGGATGGAGGGAGGGAGGGAGGGATGGATGGATGGAGGGATGGAGGGGCGGACGGACGGACGGACGGACAGACAGACGGACGGACGGACGGATGGAGGGACGGAGGGACGGAGGGACGGAGGGATGGAGGGACGGACAGACGGAGGGACGGATGGAGGGAGGGAGGGACAGACAGACGGAGAGAGGGACGGAGGGAGGGACGGAGGGACGGACGGACGGACGGACGGATGGGCGGACGGTCGGACGGTCGGACGGAGGGACGGAGGGACGGAGGGACGGATGGAGGGACAGAGTGACGGACGAGTTGCAATATGTCTTTGCTACGAGGGGAGCTGCAGCGGGCAAGGTGGCATAATTGAGCTTTCACAGTGCTTGCCGCTGTCTAGAGCTAGAATCATGGATATGATTGGATTGATGATTCAAAAGCACCTGAAAAATTGCCAGATTGGAACTGCTTTAGCATCCTTGTTTACATTTCTTCGGCCCGTCACCTGTACGAAATGCTAGTTATTTGAACTTATTTCATTAACTGGGACTGAAACATGTTTGTTTTGCAAGGAAAGCATCCTGCATACATAAGCTCCTGCAGGGGGAGGATCCTCCACGAGTAAGGCTGTTGCTGAGCGCGCACCCAGCAGGTGCTGCTAAAACCTGAAAACAAAAACCATTAAAATGAGAGCGAAAGTAGTAAAGTACCCTCCGAGAACGTGTTCAAGCGCGTACTCTTCAATGTGCACATGTTTTACCCGCAAGCGCACATTTTTCACACCAACACATTCTGTTTGTTGTGTGCAGATGTCATTTTTTTTTTTTTTTTCCAGATGGCAGGGTCTTTATTTTGTCCACATGTGGAAAACAAGTCCAGCATTCAGTGGAAATCAGGTCTTATCCCCAAGTGCCTTGGATGCCAGATCTTTTTTGCAACCTTCATGGCAGGGAGCGTGTGAATGCACAGCCTGGAGAGTTTTTTTTTTTTTTTTTTTTTCCTTTTGTTGGGCTAGGCTTCCAGCCGGGTGGCCCGGCCGTGCGAGGACCAGGGAAGGTCCCAGAAAAAAGGAAAAAAAAACACTCCCCAAAAAAACTTTGTTATGCAAAAAAATATAAACTGAACAGCTTTTGCCTCAGGGTCATATCGGAATTCTTTACCAAATTTGTAAAAAACAATTACACTAAAAATTTAAAAAATATTATTATTTATTTTCTTTTTTGTTTTTAGCCTGGCCGGCAAGTGGTCCCGGGCCACTCTGGTAGCCTAGGTTTTGGGCCATGCCAAAATTCTCTGTATCATTCCGATTTTAACAAATGTCTCATGGACAGGGTAACGTCGAAGTTCCAAGTACATTTTCAGATTTTCTTGACTTGCTGACGGTAAAGAAAAGAGTCTGAGGCTCTCCAGAATGGGGACGAGTCCCCCTTTCTCTCTCCTTCTTCCCTCTCATTCCCACCCTGTCTTTTGTCTTCCTGAGAACGAGCCTTTTTCGCCCCAAACTGACCATGCACCTTGGCATGCCTTGACTCCGGACATGTTGCTCATTGCAGGGTATCATTGATGATCTGCTCCCACAAATTACACACAACGCTCTTCAGGTAAAGGATTCTCATTGACGACCCTTTTTTTGGTCTTTTCTCTTTTTTTTAAAGGGCAACGGCGATGAGAATCTTGAGATATCATTATCGAGCTGACCAGCCCTGGGCAGTTCCTAATTGTAATGCTCTTTCCAATCTGGTATTTTAGTTGGGGTGAACTGATGATTGAAGTGTAGATAGAGGGATGATTTTGCGATCAGACTCGCTCTCATTCACACTTCACATGCATGCAAACAGGTTGCGCAGCAAACTGGCGTCAAGCGCCCACTCAGAACTCAGAGATACAGTAACCAAAAACGCAACTCAGATACAAGTTCACTTCAAATGGCTATGGCGGCCCATCGCCTGTACAACTCTCTGTTCGTCACTTACTCAACACTGCTGTTCGCACACAGGATCACCCTGGATATCCCACACGCAACACGCTGTACACTCGCACACTCGTACACGCTACTCTCCCTCCTATCAGCTATGGCGGCTATGGCCGCTGCTACCCTATCGCTATGGCTAGCTTCCTTCTCGCCCACTTCGTCCTCGGGCTCACTGCAGACCACCTCGCACAAGTCGCTATGGCAGCGCTTCCGCATGGCTTACGCAGGAATGAATGAATGGCTGGGCGCTGCCTCTTGATTTATACTTCTGTAACTCGCTGGTCTGACCTTTTCCATCGGCCCATGGTGCACACAGTCCCTCATGGTACTTGCTGGACTGGACTGGGACTGACAGGACCGGTACCACTGACTGCATGGGCTTGCACCGCAAACTCACTGCAGTCACACTGCCAACGTACTGAGGTTGGCTCCACCACTTGCCCACTTGCCTCTGCCTAAACGTGAGCCCACTCCGAAAGGCCACTTCCGGGACCTTCCGGAAGTCTGTGGATTTGGCCTTTTGGGTACGGTAGCAGCTACGACCTAGACCTTTCAGTAGACCTATAGCTGTGACCTCTACAGAGCTGTGACTCCTACTTGACAGATCTACAGATCGAACCCCTACCACTACACAGACCTACGACAGACAAACAACAACTAACAAAACACAGGTCACGGGTTCAAACACTCAGGGGTCGACTCGATACTGTACACAGGTAAGGTCAGAACTAGGGATCGAGCCCTGGGATCTGCATTCGCAGTACTTATAGGTGAAAACCGTTTCAATTTCAAGAGGGAAACGTATAATTTTGACGAAATCAAGGATTGAAGCAAGATGTATGGTAGTATTGACAATCTGGTACCTCCTTGAAGTGTAAGACCAGTCTTGTCGATGCTATCCCGTGCTACCGTGCAGGAACTGTTTGGGCCCATCTGGGGCCGGTTGCTGTTGTTCTGCAGAGCCCGAAACTAGTTGGGCCCTGTCGATCGCATTTCGTTCAGGTTTTTGAAAGAAGGTTCAGGCGCCGTGAATGGGTTCACGAGGGCTTCTCTTCACCCTGAAATGGGTGTCATATCTAGCAACCTTTCCTAATCCAGAATTAGTAGAATTAGTAATTACAAATTACCTATATCCCAAGCCCACTTTTCTGCAACACACTTTATCCAAACAGATACTACTACAATCACCTGCACTCTAAATGTATGTGCACAACATCAGATATAAGATAGTATAGTTAAAGATAGCAATCAGGCTTACCCAACATTTAGAATGTATGACGGCCACTAGGAGGTCCAGAAACACTTCCTCGTCTCTCGCTTGTTGCTTATGCTTCAGTCCTGATCACCACCTTTTTGTTTCATTCCGCTTCCTGCTTGGGACCACTCCCGCTCCCACGCCCTATTAGTTCCTCCCCTGCCGTCCACCTTGCCCCATTGTGCCTTCTTGCCACTGACCTGCCGATGGTAGACAAGAGGTTGCCAGCCATGCTTGTTGCAGTGCATGCAGTGTTACCCAGGGCACTGTGTGACATTGATTTTCCATGACTGGAATTTCGGGAGCATATGTGCTTCTCAGATCGGTGCTCACATCGCGGCGTGTGCAAAAAAAGGATTTCTCAAACCATCGGATACGTACTCTTGTTCCTTCTTTTTTTGGTACGATCCTTTGTTTTTCTCAGTTACGTTACAGAACATACCAAGTCATTCAGGAGTTGGACACAGGTTGCGGATTTTTTGCTTAAGGAAACCCCTTTTCTGGACCAGCTCCGAAGGTCTGGACCCAGTCCAGACCGTACAGTGTCCAGTGTCTGGGTGGGTCTGGTGCCCAGGTAGCCGTGATTGTATGAACATATATTTTGAATTACTACGACCTTATTTTTTCTGTGTTGTACTGCAGAAGATGTGCATCATTTATATTTTCCGTTCGCTTATCCTTGACAGTAATGACTATCTCAATGCTGCTCACACTTGACCCCTTGGTGTGCGTTTGTTGCATGAAGTTCCGCAGTGTCTCTTCATGACGATTGGAATAATAGTTATGATTATTGTTGGTGTCCCATGGGTTGCCTTTGTTGTATGAATTTGCGCAGTGTCTCTTCATGACAATTGGAATAGTAATTGTGATTATTGTTGGTGTACCATGGGTTGGCTTAATCGTGCTTCCAGTACTACTAGTGTTCTTAAGGTATGCATATCCCCTCCCACCTACCAGCTGCCCAAACCACGAGAAAATGTTTAACCGCACCTCGACTTTTCATTGTTTTTTAACCGACGTTTGTCTAACCAAAGTTTGTTTAACCGAAGTTTGTAAGAAATATTCAAAAACCTTTTCCAACAAACTCCCCACCCATCAGAAGAAACACCGCCAGACCGAGTAGTGAAAAGCAAAAGGAAAAACTTGAAAAAACGAAAACTGAGATTCGAGCCAGGTGGAGGGAGGTGACATCAACAACGAAAGGCAGACCAGAAAGGATAGCCATCAAGAGACGGGTCTTCATGAGAAACTGGCTTCTTCAGGGAAAGATTGCAACTGTGTCAGATAACAGATTGATTTGGAAGAAGTGGCACAACACACCTCCAACAAGGACGGGGTACCAGTGATGGGCAAACTGAGATTTTCATCTTAACAGTATAGACAATCGTCCTCTTTTCTTGCTTTATACGAATCAGCCGACAGAGTCACAATAGATTCTGAGAGGAAAAGTGGAATGGCAAGCTGACAGTCAATCCTCCGGATATGGAGCAATCAATGCTGGTCAGGGTTCCTTCGGCCATACGGAAGGAAGCGTGAGAGTGTTCACCATGTATCTCAATTTTTGACTTGCCGGTGGAAAGGAACCGGACTGACGCTCCCCAGAATGGATATGGAGCCAGGACCATAAGGACCTGTTTAAGGGGGGGAAAAAAAAAAAAAAAGGATTTCCTATTCGTACAGGAGAGTGATTGTGGAAGTGATGTTGCTGGCTTATAATCAGCTGAAAGGGGAAAAAAAAGAAAAAAAAAAAGGGTAAAGAAAGGAGAACACCCAAAGAAGCAGGAAAAAGACCACTTTTCACAAGTTTTCATTTGAAAGTTGAAACTTAAAAATCACCGTTGCCGAGATCTTTTTTTTTTTGAATGCTGCCTTCTCCTCGTTGGGGGACAGCCATATATTTTTCTCTCACGTGAGATATTTTTAACTGGTGTTCCGCCGTGTCATGGAACATATCTTTTCACCTTTCACTACCCACCTTCCACTACTTCTCTATGGCTATACAGGGGACCCCTGCAAGCATAGCCTTCCACCTCTCTTCGGTGAAGGGAGGTTACCTCTCTTGGTTACCTCTCTCAATGGAGGATCCAGCTGACTATCTCAGTTGGTTGGCACCGAGAGTGCCACAGGCTTCTCCATTTTATTTTGATTTTTGTTCTTATGAAAGAAAAAAAGGAAAAACTAAGAGCAAAACACTGCTAATGTAGCGTGAATACAGGAAGTGGGTAGAGGACGTGCCATAGGCGGAGCAAGAAAGCATGAAGTCGTCACGGCGACGAAGTCTAGCAAGGGTAGGAGACGCAAACACAGGGTGTCATCACAAGAAATCCATGTCATATGTGAGAGCCCCATATCCTTCAGCTGAGTCAGAGCCAGCAACATCACTTCCACAATCACTCTCGTGTATGAATAGGAAATCGATTTCTCGAGGGAAGAAGAAGAAGAAGAGAAGGAGAAAGAGGATAAAAAGCAAATGAGAGGGGAGCAGGGAAGCGTAGAAACACGGATTCATATTGATGACAATTGTTCGCAGATGACTTCACTGTGCTAATTACAGCGTCCGATTCCTTGTTCAAGATGTTATTTATAGTGATGCAAGCATTCCGACTGGAATTGGAAACAAAGGTTAATTGATCTGAAACAGTGTCCTCGTGGATCGCGACTTGCTGGGTAACGAGTTTTTGCATTCTTTGACTTGCCAGTGGAAAAGGAACCGGAATGACACTCCCCAGAGTAGAACGGAGCCAGGCCCATACTCACCGTTAAAAAAAAGGAGGAAAGAAAAAAGGGGAAAAAAAAAAAAAAAAACTTCTGTCCGAGCACCACCTCATCCTCTCTGGAAGCTGTCTCTTATACACATCTAGATGTGTATAAGAGACAGGATAAGAGCAGACACCACTAACACCCGGGGAGAGGCTCCATCTATTGGTGGGGAGCATCACCTGCTGGAAAACGGGTCCAGCGTCCCATATGCAAAAATACATCAGATCTGACAAAAATGTTGGGGGGGGGGAACCTCTTCACCTTGACTCGGTGCCAGATCCCTACTGCTACAAACTAGTTCCTCCCTCCCCACTCCACAGATGTGACCCTTTTATATACATGAGTATGTGCGTAGAGTTTGACCCAGTCCATATGCAAAAATACATCAGGTCTGACAGAAATGTTGGGGGGGGGGAACCTCTTCACCTTGACCCAGTGCCAGATCCCTACTGCTACAAACTAGTTCCTCCCTCCCCACCCCACAGATGTGACCCTTTATATGCATGGGTATGTGCCTAGAGTTTGATCCAGTCCCAGCTTCAGCCATCGTTCCCCGTGGCCCCACTGCTCCCTTTTCCCTCACTCTCCCCCGTACCAAGAAGCTCCCACCAGGCTGTTTGCGGGGGGGGGGGGGAAGAAGTCCGGGAATTCGCCGCTTGGCCATTGAAGAGGAGCTTATAGTCTCTAGTAATCGTCTTGTTATCCCCCCTTCCCCCCTGTCCCCCATTTTCCCCTTTCCATTCCACCTTTCCTATCCGCCCCCCGGTTTCCCCCCCGAGCCAGCTCTTGCAGAAATCTTGTATCCTCTGCTTTATTTCACTCTCTGTGTTAATGTGTTTGATCTGTGTTTTGATTTCCTCCCATCTTGCTGTTATGTTTATGTGAATCTGTTGTTGTATGTTCTCTGTGAATTCTGGCCCTTCCAATATCACTCCTTCCATTTCGTAAGTGCAGCGGCGTCTCCAGAGTGCCCACAATACTGCCCTTCGTCCTTGACGAAAGATGTTGAGGGTGAAGTCGTCCTGCYGTTCRGAGGGCCATCTTTCGAATAACARRGCTTTCCAGTCCCATGGCCAAGGCACCCCTGTTCCTAACTGAWCCCATATTCTGTCCCACCAKCGCCAGAGCCAGACCGCTCCAGGGCATTGCAGAAAGATATGTTCTATTGTTTCTGGTTTCTTTCTTGATGGGAATGCATTGGAGCACAGTTTGCACCAGGGGAGCGCCATACCTCTCTGTTCGAGGGTGGTCCTGTCTATCAACCAGTTATTTGTTGGCAGGCAGCGGTGTTCCATCTGCCATTGCAGGGAGGCCAGGTTTGCTCGTTTCTTTTTGGTTAGCTGAAACCATTTCACGTTTCTCAGCGATTCTTTGCTGATGTTCAGATGTTTCATCCATCTCGCTTCCACCTGGTCCCTCAAGTTGATTTTGGGCCGGAGTAGTCGGTATGTAGCTTTAACTGTCAGGTTATACAATGTTTTGGTGCTGGCTTTGCCTCTGCCAGTTGTGTTTTATCGGCGTGTCTGGGGAAAATGCCACCCACCTGTCCTCCTTCCGCAGCACCCTGATTCTCGAGAGGTCATCCTTCTCAAGGAGCTGTATTTGTTCTGGATTGGTCTTTCGGAGGAGATTTTCATTACCGATTTGGAATGTGTCCACCCCCACTGGTCCCTTTGGATCAAAACTCACCACTTGGCCCACCTCCCCCTGGCGGCCCGGAATTGCTACCCAGTCGGACTCTTGTAATGAGGGTCCTTTTCTCAAAATTTTCCACCAGTTTAAGGGGACGCATTCTATTAGACTACCTATCGCCTGTTCTGGTCTGTGACAATATCTCAATTTTTCCTTGAGACTCTCTCCCATGATCCAGTCTCTTCTATCAACTTCCCTGATGTCCCTGATTCTCAGGACCCCCCTTTTAACCCACCCTTTCCAAGGGGAATCCATGCAGTGCAACATCTGACCCCTTAAGTTAGTTATCCTTTTGTTCCCAAACAATGGTTGTCGGACCACTTCATCCCATCTCTCAGGTGTTGTTTTGTCTGGCAAGGGGAGACTCCTCCATGTTTGTAGGAGGATAGGCCAGAAGGGGTCATTATGGAGATCTTTTCTTGCCTCTTGTCTTGGCGAGTCAGTGGGAAGGTTTCCTTGTTGAGACTGTCGCCGTGGAATTGCCCAATCTCTGTTTTCAACTCATGTGAGCGGACTGATGTGGATTGGTGCTTCTGGGGCTAGCCTTGAAATCTGTTCCAGGGCCAGCTCTCTCCAGGGGATCTGTGGGCAAAAAAACAGGCGTTTAAGCGACTGTATGACCAGTGCCCTAACTTGTGTCGCAGGGTCAATTATGCCCAACCCCCCTTTCGCCTTGGGTTGGATGATTGACTGCCATGCCACTCGGCTTATTACATTTTGTTTTTCGTGGTCCCCCCGCCATAAAAATGCAGCTATCTGTCGCTGGAGGGGGCGCAGGGTGGCCTTATCTAGCCCCCAGATGGCTGATCTATACCAAAGAATGGCAAGCACAACGTTGTTGATCACTAGGGTTCTTCCTAGCAGCGAAGTGTGCTTGTCCTTCCATAATGCCAACTTTTCCAGGGGGGGTCTGGCTGTCCATTCGATATTTGTTGTTGGTCTGCCATTGGCTGTCAGGGAAACTCCCAGAACTCTAATCGGGGCTTCTTGAGGTAACCACCTCACCTTCGGATGTTCCGAGGGTCTTACACCTTGATGATGGATCCACCATCCCACAGTTTTGTTTCCCCAGTTTACTCTCACGTCAGATAGGGTACAAAAGCGATCCGTCATGTGTTGGACGCCTTCCATCGATGCTCGGGTTGCATCTACCAGGGTCAGGTCGTCAGCAAACATGGAGTAAACTGGGATAGCTTCTTTTGGGATCGAGGATAGTTGTATTTTTTGTATGTCTTTATGAGTTCTTAAGTTCGTTGTTAGTGCTTCCATGATTATGACAAAGAGGAATGGGGCCAACGGGTCTCCCTATCTTACTGATCTTTGCAGGGTGATTGGTGGTGTCAGGTTGTCATTGACCATGACTCCTGTTGTTGTGTTTCTATGAAGGATTTGCACCCATCGTCTGAATGTGGGCCCGAAGTTAAGTTTTTCAAGACACTTGTCTAGGAATATCCAGTCCACATGATCATAGGCCTTCTCAAAGTCAATGAAAATAATTGCTGCGTTTCGTTTAGACTGTCTTGCCAGTTTAATCACCTCATTGACTAATAAGATATTGTCCTGGATATTCCTACTCTTGATAAGCCCTGTCTGGTTTGGATGTATAATATCGTCCATTACTTTAATCAGTCGATTGGTCAGTGCCTTGGCCACCATCTTGTAAACCACTGTGAGGAGTGTGATTGGTCTATAATTTCTTATGTTTGTCTTTGTTCCTTTCTTATACAGGAGTGTTAAGACTCCTTGACCTACGAATTCACTTGTCCTACCGGCCTCCCACATTGCTTTATAATAGTTCATTAAGTCCTGCGAGATATCTTCCCACATCGCCTCCCAGAACTCCTTTGGCAACCCATCTATGCCCGGGGTTTTTTCCTCCTCCATCAGCAACAATGTTGTCCGTACCTCTTCTTTTGTGAGGGGTTGTTCTAGCAGTTCCTTTTGTTGACCTGTCAGCGTTCTGGAGAGGGGGAGCAAAAACTCATCGATTTCCTTCATTCTTTGCGCCTCTGGTTGAGTTCCACACTCCGACCTAAAGAGATCCTGAAAGAAGTCTCTCGCTATTCGTGTGCAGGCTGTTGTAGATGTCAGCAGCAAGCCTTGATGGACGTTTGGGTCCTCCAGGGCTTCTATCGTTGATCGCCCAAGTTTAGCTTTGGCCATTGCAAAAAATATTGTCCATGGTTCCTTCCATATTGTGCTTGTGAAGTTTTCCCCGGATTCTGATGCCTTGCCATCACTGTTCCATTCGTTCTAGGATCTGTGTTTCCAATGTCTGTACTTCGTCTGCCAGTTTTGTTAACCGTGTGACGTTACTCATGTCATCTTCTTGTTGTTGAAGTTGTTGCAGTCTGTGTTGGATATCTATCTCTTCTGCATTGCGCTTTGCTGCAAGCAATCTTGAGTATTCATTGCACTTGCGGCCCAGGAATGTCAGGCCGTTGTTGAACCATAGTATGTCATCCGCGATCAGTGTCTTTTGTTGGCGCCAATAGGCCCAGACTTCTTTCAGATAGGTCTTAAAGCGATTTATGGCCAGCAAGGATGTGTTGAGTTTGTAAAACCCCCTCCCGTGGTCTGGCTTTTTCCGGAATGAAAAGATGGCCAGACACATTGCATGGTCTAGCCCTGGGTGAGGGCTGCGGGGAAAAATTTTTGCTATCTGTAACGCCCCTTGCAGTTCCTATGAGATTAGTATTAGATCAATGCGTGATTTGGATGTTTTCTGGATCTGATTCTTACGGAAGCAGGTAAACTCCCGTCTGGTAGGGAATGCCTGCCTAAATCCGTCCACGAGGTGGAGGGTTTGAGTCAAGTCTGCTATGGTCCTCTCGTCATTTTCCATGTAGAAGGGGCAGGGAGAAGGAATCTTCCATCTATCGAACCAGCGATCCGGGGCCGTGTTGAAATCTCTTGCCATTATTATCAGAATGCCCACCGGCAGTTTTGTTTTAAGTTTTTCGGAAAAAATCTGCCGTTCTCTGGGATCGTTCAGGCCATAGACGTTCAAGATGCTCACCACTTCTAATTCCAGCATGGCCAGGATGTATACCCATCTTCCTTCTTCCTTGTCCACCTCCCAGTTGAACGGGTCCACCCTGGATCCTGGGGGGAGCCAAATGGCAGCTCCTCCACTGCCTGGCCTCGGGGCGTGGGCGTGAAAGGCTTGATGTGGCCAAATCTCTTTGTGTACATGATTGTGCTCCGGGGTGTCTGCCAGGAGTGTTTCCTGTAAGCATATGATATCGGGCCAGTCTCTTCCCTCCACCCCTCTCAGGAGTTCCATGATCGCTCCCCGTTTAGTATGTTTTCCTGATGCCAATCCGTTTACGTTCAGTGTGCGCAGGTCCAGATCAGCGGTTCTTTTGCTGAGTCTCCATTGTTTGTCCTTGTTGTACAGTGCGTCTATCACATTCATTCCTTGCATTTTATTTATTATTATTTTTATTTTAAAGAGGCAGTCATGGCTCTTTGTCCAGCGGGCCGCCCGTCTGCAGGGTACGGTTTGTCAACAGTTTTGATAAGATGGACATAATATCTACTTCCGACCAAAGGTCGCTGGCTTTGATCTCAAGTATCTGCAGTTCCATCAGCATTTCCTGGTTGAGCCAGCGGAGTCCCTCCACCTTTGTTTGTTCATATTTCAGATAAACATCCCTGGCGGACAGCCTGTGCTCGCCGTATGAGATCACCAGGGAGGCGGCGGTGCCTTGTGGGAGGCGGTCCTGCATTAGTTGAATTATGTTCGATTTCAAGAGTGTCGGACCGCCCCCCCATGCCGCGAGTGAGGGAAGAAAGGTTGATCGGCCCTTCATCGTGATCTCCCCGTGAGTTGCCTCTGGCGGTGTTGAGAGACCTATCTCCCAGGAGTCTTTCCCCCGTCTGACCGGTATCAGGATCAGTCCTTTTTCCAGCGGCGGTGTCGTCCCTCCTTTGTCGAGCAGGTGCCGTATCTTTTGCCGTTTACTTGTGATATCCGGGTCCGGGGGCGGTGGAGGCAGGGGGGTTGCAAAATTCTGTACCTTTTCCTGCTTCCGTTGCATGGTCTCTTCCGGCTGCCAGGCGGCCAATGTCAGGCATAACCCTTCCTCATCTCTGTCTAACATCTTCGTTGCCTCTTTTGTGGTTTCGCGTTCTGCATTTTTTTCTTTTTCTTTTTGGGTTCCTTCCTCCTCCTTTCCTCTTACTCTTGCTTCTTCTATGACCGCCCCTTTTCTGTTCACTATCCTATTGTCTATCGCGTCCGCCGTGTCCTGGCCCTCTCTCCCTTCTTTCATCTCCTCCCCTTCCCTGTTTCCTGCGCCCGCCTTGTCCTGGCTCACTCTCTCTTCTTCCCCCTCCTCCCTCTCTCCAAACTCTGTTTTATCTTCCTCTGCTTCCTCTTCCCTCCTAGTTTTTGTCTGCCCTTCGCCTCCTGTTGTTCGACTTTCCCTCACCCCTTGTACCTTCTCAACTCCTCCCTCTGCGTTCTCCCTGTTTTGTTGTTCTGGGGTCTTCTCTTCCCTCCCCAGTTTCTCGTCTTCTTTGGGAGGGGAGGCGTTGATCAAGCTAACCTCCTTCCTTTCGCAGGTGGTGTCGTTCTCATGTGGGTGGAAGCGATCGCGGACTATAGTGAGGAACTTTTGGGATACGTCTGACCAGTTCGCCCCTTTTGGTAGGTCGTTCGTTAGAGCTAGCTGGAGACTTTCGTTGTTTTCAAGTAACGAGATCAAGGCCACGTACGTGTCGTCCCAGAACCCCTCATTCCTGTCATGATACTTTATTTGGAGGTTCTCCATCAGCCAATCTGCCAGCTCCTTCAGTTTGTCTCCCTGACCGCAGTCGGCCGCTTCTTTTCCTATACCGGTTTGTTGTTCCTCTGTGTCTGTAGCGTCCTCCATCTCTATATCCGGGGGAGTTGGTGGTGGGGGGGGGGGCGGAATAACCTCCACTTCCATAGGAGCTGTCCCGAAGGCTTTCTCGAACGGGTCATCTATTTTCTTGTCATTACTGGTATCGCTGCTTTTCCCCCCCGCCCCCTCCTGTTCCGGTTCTTTCCTCTTCAACACCTGCCATACTCTTCCCCTCCCCCCTCCCTTCTGGTTACACTGCCGGTCTCCAATGGGGAGGTAGTCATCTGCAGCTGGTCCCTTCACTAGTTGTTTCTGTTTTTTCGGTGTGTGTCCTGGTTGTGGTTGTGGATGCACCGGCTGTTTGTCTCTCGAGGGGGGTGCAGTTCGCTCTTGCGGTTGCATAGGCTGTTTATCCTTCGGGGGGGGTGCCGTTCGCTCTTGGGATTTTACTGGGTGACTTGATCCCCCCCGAGGTGTCCAGTCATTCGGTGGCTTGGTTGCTCTGCATTGGTCCCCCCTACCCTCCCAGGTCCATCCCTTAGTTTGTCCTCTCGAGTCCAACTCGTCCAGATACACCCAGCCGTCGTGCCCTGGGTCGACAGTGTGCCATCTGTTTGGTCTGTGAAGGTCTCGTTGCAGCCTCCCTGTTGTTGGACGACTGTTATTTGGGTGCAGTGGGCATGCAGACTCTGTGCACAAGTGTCTGTATGCTCTACATTTAAAGCACCAAGGGCGGAACTTGTGCGCGGTGTGAATTTGGTGAACTTTCCCCCCCATCTTGACGGGATGATGTCATCGATGGAGAAGGGTTGGTCCTTCGATAGATCCAGGGCAAGCATCACATAGTCATTTGTTTTAGCCACATACGAAGGCAGCGGGTCAATGAAATCGACAATTGTGTATTGTTGCCCCATATCATGTATAAAGGTGGCATGTACTTCCACCGGGATGTGCCGCAACTCAACCCAGAAGCAATCTTTCATCATTTGTTCTCTTTTTTCTTCCGGGGTGAGATTTTTGGGCTGCCATGGATATATACGAACCTCAGACCTCTCCCATCTGAGCCTTCTCCACCCATCCATCCGTTGTTTGTCCTGTGTGAACAAACTCAAGATCGCGAAGACGGTCGATGACAGGGGTTGTATGAGGAAAAATTCCCGGACTGCGTCTTGACTTCCCTTCATTTCCTCCAGTCTCCTGCATATCCACTTTATTTTGTCATTCACCGATTTCTGTGCGACTTCTCCCTGGAATACCCAATTGCTCGCGTGCTTTATGTACGCCTTGTCTCTCTCCAATTTCTCCATTGGGTATGTTTTCATCATCGTTTTCTGCCCTCCTTGGTCCACCACTTGGCTTTCTGAGGGAAGGAGGAAGAGGATCAGGAAGTATGCTCTTGCTGCGGAGAGGCTTTTTAATGGTACCCTCAAGTCCTCTATCCCCCCTGGGTGTGGGTCCGCTGTGGATCGTTTTATGGTCAGGGTCTTCTCCTGCATTGTATTCCTAACTCTCTGTGCCCATGAGGGTTTCTCCTCTCCCTTAGCTGGCGTCTCCTTCTCCCCTTCCGGATTTACCCCTTGTTTGCCTGCCATCTCTTTTTTCTCTTCCTCATTCAGTATCTCATCCCCATCGTTCTCCCTCATTTCCGTTGTCGGGACAGAAACCATGACAAGGGTATCTGCCCTGTATTTTCAATGTCGGACGAAGTCCGAGTTTTAATATAAGTTTGTGGAATTGGTCTGACAAAATGAGCATGCTATTGGATTATTCCAACTCGTCCGCAGGATTACAACTAGATCGCAGAGATGTGCGACCGTAGAAAGACTAAAGTTAGACCTATCCTAATTTTAGCAGCCGCGCGATTCAGAGCCTAAGGGGGCTAAAAAAAGGGGTCACAGCGGTAAGAATGGACCACGGCGTAAAGGAATGGGTTAGGGTCCATAGGGCTTTTGCGTCGAGGACCAGGGACGTAGGCGTCGGGGCCGGCTAGGTACGACTGCCATTAAGCCTGTCCGCTGCCGGTCCTGCCTGCCGGCCACGGTAGTGAGCAGGCTAGCAGGCACGGCGTGCTAGGCGCTGAAAACGGGCCTGCTGGGCTTTGGAAGCCCTTCATATAGAAGGGCCGCTCCTTTTATGATGTGAAAAGGAGCTAGCCCAGTAGATGTCGTCGTCAAATTTTCACCCCGCAGACATGGGGATCAAACCTGAGTAACAGCACTACCGGGCTAGCTCCTTTTGGAGCAGCCCACGACACCTGAGTGGGCGCGACCGATTTCGGCCGTGCGATCTTCAAGATCGCGCGGCTGAAATCAGTCGCGCCGAGATAGCGTGGCCCCTGCGCAAGGATGACACGCATAATCGAGAAATAGTCCAAAAAAATTTTTCGAGTCCATCTGGACTCGAACTCGGATCTGCATTTCAACAGTTCGTGGGTGAGCCCACGAACGCAGCACGGCCGTTAGCATAAGCCAACGGGAATTCTAAAAAAAAAAAAAAAGGGAGAATTTAAAAACTAAAGGATGTGAGGCGCCACTTGGCGCCGTTGGAAGAGACTGGGGCGTTTTAGCCCCAGAGCCTGTTACAGCGCCCGTGAAAACGGGCAGCTGTGTTCTGCAACAACGAGGTAAGGTTTTTTTTTTTTTTTTTTTTATCCTTTTTTTTTTTTTTTTCTCCTGGATTTTGCTTTAGATTCTTTTTAGATTTTGTCTTTTCTTTTTAGTTTTTTGTTTAGATTTTGTTTTTCTTTTTATTATTTTCTTCTTCTTATATATAGCACCCGTTCGTTTTGACGAACGGGTCGTGCTGTGACAGACTGTTTCGCCGGAGTTGCCCCGACTCATCAGGAGGCTGAACCCCGACAGTCAGCCTCTGCGTCTGTATCTGGCGCCGATAACGACCAGGCACAAAGAGAGAGAGAGAGAGAGAGAGAGAGAGAGAGAGAGAGAGAGAGAGAGAACGCAGGGGGTCACCTACATCCTTGGCCCCATGGGACTGCCACCGATAGGATAAGCAAAATCGAATGAATCTCCCACTTAATGCAATGGCCAAGCCACTGCTACAACAGCTACCAAGGAGGGTTGTGCTAGTCTGTTTCGTTGGAGTTGCGCCGACTCATTTGGGGGCTGTGCCCCGACAGTCCATCCACGGATGGACAAAGTACGAATGAATCCATCCGTAGATCAGGGGGATGTGCATGCTCTTTTCTTAGGGCGTTTGCACGTCAAGCTGGTAAGTTATTATTATTATTATTATTATTATTATTATTTTGCTTCTTTTAGTTCGTTTCGTTGTTTCCCCGTTCGTAGCCAACAAGGCTCAACCACACAGAAAAAAGGAAATGGGGAAAGAAGAAACAAAGAAAAAAACTTAAAACTGTAAAAAAAAAAAAAAAAAAGCAGAGAAAGAAAATGAAAACGAGGCAACTGCCTCGTGGTAGGACTAGAACAGTCCTTAGGACTGTGTGGGAGCACAAAAGCTCCCACTTCGGTTTTTTTTTGCCAACTCGCTGTGGCCGCGAGATCTTGAATCTCGCGGCTCACAGTACTCGCGTGGGAGAGAGAGAGAGAGGGACGTGGGAGTTGGGAAGGGGAGGTCCTACTCCTCCCAAGCTGCCAACTGCCCTCCCCGTTTTTGGGGAGGGCAGAGGAAAGTAAGGGAGGGCTGTTGCATGCAACAGCATGCACCTGGCCAAGGAAGAAGCCAGGTGCAACAAGAATTAGAAAGTTAGTTTTTTTTCTCTTTTTTCTTTTCTTTCTTTTCTTTATTTTGAGTGAGGACACTTGTCCTCACGTGGTGCTACCTCTGGCAGAAGCCGCCAGAGGTAACTGTCAGGCTCCCGTTTTTGCAGCGAGCCTGGAAATTGAAGGGCCACTAAGGAAAAGGCTAGGTACAGCCTTTTCCTCGATGTATCTGCCCTGGAAAAAAGGTCCAGATACATCAAACTAAAAGGGGTTGTATCTTTCCAACCCCTTATCAGAAAAATGAAAGAAAAACTGATTTGGAAATGGCAGGAGCCCAGCTATCTCGCCAGATTCCGAGATAGCTGGGAAGAAGAAAAATAAAAATAAAATAGGGCAGTTAAAGAAACTGCCCCACACTAAGGCTGTGGTTGTGGTGCGGCCACAGTCAGCCCTGGATCTTGGCAGATCAAGGGCTCACAGTGAGCCCGTGATTTTGCCTGGGGGCTGGAGTGACGTCCAGCCCTCAGCCACTATAAAACAGCCAGCTACCCCAACTGCCACACAAAGCATTCGTGTTGTCATTGTGTGACGTGCACTTGAGTGCTGCTGGGCTGCTGGGCTGCTGAGGTGCTGCCTGAGGCAAGGAGGAGGAGCTGGAGATCTGCAGAGGAGCGCGACGAGGAAGACTGGGCAGCCATAGCTAAGGCAGGGAGCACTCTGCTCCTCTCCCCTCTGACTGGTGCTGGTCCCACGGGACAGACCCAGTGGTACTGCGGGACTGCGGCAGTGCGGCGCTGTGAGATTTGGGCCTGGGGCCCAAATTTTACCAATTTTGGCCTGCCATTTTCTCACTACGGTGGGGAAGTGCTGCTGAAATTTTACAGCGGCA